ATGTATTTTGATTATCAGTCTTCTCTTTTTTCACCTATTTACCCCACTGCTCTATATATCAAGTTTCTACATGTTTGCACTGTGTTGTCTAATATATTGTCGATTATAAGATTTGTTATGGATGATATGAATCCTTTCTCATTTTGATATAGAAATATATAAGTTCAGACCGAATGTATTTACTTAGAAAGTATTTTTCACTCACCCTTTTACTTGAATAGCTGCTTCTTGGAAATGAGATTACACCAATTGCAATTTTAAAGCTACTATTTATACTCTTAATGTCTCTGCAGACCCTTTGGGTAAACCCGGGGCGTTTCCCGGGTCACTCGGCTAGTTCTATATATACGTGGTTTCAAATTTCTAGTATACTATCCAAAGTTCGCACACACGTGAAAAAGCTGCATAGAGCTGTCCATGAGTGAACAAAGGCTCTTGTAGCAAGAGCCCCTCTCAAGCAAAGGATTTGCCTTAACCCTTTTTTATAGTCATAACAAAAGCCAAGCTTAGTGGAAACTGATACCTCTTCAGAATGAACAAAATATATTTTTGGAACCAATAAAGTGTTTCAACTTTGGTCTCTGTCAGTATTTGTGTTTAAAGAACATGAGAGCAAATGCGCTGGATCATCATACATGTGCCATTGGTAAGACCCTGCATAGGATTCAAATTTCTCAGAAGCATAACAATGCCACCACCCTTAAGGTTTAAGCGGTGTGGATTGCTTTCATCTAGGAGTAAGGCTATTGAGTAATTCAGTAGGGTAATTTTTTGCTCCTCCACATTCTCACAGTGTCTACACTGAGAAAACACACACTCATTTTTGTTGTCAATTCCGGGGAAGAAACTATAGGCATTGGTTAAAAAATGTAAATAAATATATTTAGAGTGAACAAAAAATTATCAAATCAGAAAATAAATTGCAAACAACACAACTATATTTCAGATAAAACAATATACAATAGGAATGAATTCATTTGAAAGACCTCATTAAAAACTACATTACTAGTTTATTTATACATTATAGCCTCGTTAATTCGACACACGATAAATCAACCATGATTTGATGTCCTGACGTAAGGCTTATCATATAACAAACTGTAATTTGACCCTATCGATAATTCGACCATTTTAAAATTCAAATTCGGCAATAGATTGTTGTTTAAAATACTTTAACACTAAAAAGGTAATATAGTGCCAAGCGGGCCGCCAAAAATGTTAAAAAAATATATGTATAGAGCAGTGGGTAAAATAAGTGAATTAAAATCGAAATAATCGAAAATAAATAGTGTATTAGCATACAAATGATACAAAAAATTTCTTTCAGGTGAGAAACTATAGAAATTTGTGAAAAGATCAAATAAATATATTGAAAAAAAAAAAAAAAAAAGAGAAAATAAATCATGAAGACGGTTGCAAACTATATTGCAGAGGAGACGACTTATTAGAATAATTAATTTGAAGGACCTCATTTAAAACTAAATTTCTTGTTTTATATATACGTAGGTTTGCGCGACTTGCTGATAGAATAAACATGCTTTTTTTGCAAGTAATTTAAAACTTTTTCCAGTTTATTTCTGGAGTCTTCAGCTTCTTGAAGCATTACAAGGCGAGTTTCTCAGTGGTACAGATTTCTCGGGGTATACCTCCGCGATATTTGGCGCAGCCGACAGGATACAGATTGAAGAATTACTGATTATACAATGGTGCAACTGTGAACCGGTGATTACTTCTTAGGATGTCTGATCAACCAGTTAGTAGTGCGGAACTGAAAAAAACTTAGGACCCCAGTGCGTACGATGTTGATCAAGGTGTTCAAGGGTCTCGTAACATGATCAAGGATAAGAAATTCAAGAAAGTAGATGTAGAGAAAATCTTTAGCCGATTCCAAACCCACCATGAAAAGCTTTTAATATTGAACATGAGGATAGAAGAACCCCTGCTACGAGAATCAGCGTCTGAATACATTTTCACTGCCGAATACGAATTCGTTTGTGAGTACGAAGATAATTTCAGAAACATTATGACTGATTACGAAGCTCTTGTAAAAAGGGATGATGTCAGTACAATCAGCGGCGCAGCAGCCATGAACTATCGACTACTAAAGCTGAAGTTCACGAGATTTGGGGGAGAACCAAGAGAATGGATTACATTCTGGAGGCAGTTCAGCACGATTGAACGGGATCCTCAGATGTCTCCAGAAACTGCATTCTTAGTTTGTCGTCTACAGATGAGGTCAAAAATTTATCGAGGAAGTCTCCGACATCATGATGGAAGTCAAATTTGAGTTACCAGACTGGATGTGGAATGAACCTGGAATCACGGAGCAAGCTCCAGCCTATATTTTGAGTATGAAATGGCAACTTCAGGTTGACACTATTGCCATTGATGTGCAGTCACTGAACAATATAGATGAAGGAAAATCGATCACAAAAAGAAGTGACTTGTCAGCCTGCCATCGCATTTTTGATCCGGTCCAACTTACTTGTCCACCTGCAATCAAGATTAAGATGGTTCAAGATTCTTGGAAGTAGAAAAAATCATGGGATGAACCGCTGAACGAGGACAGAGAGATCGAGTTCGTAAAATGGAGGAAACAAGTTTCCGAATTGGATCGGATCAAGATACCTCGAATAATCTTACGTCCGTCATAGTAGTGCGATTCGTTGAAGCAAGAAATCGACTGGCAGCTATCAAGAAGATCACTATTCCACGACTGGAACTATTAGACTGTTTTATTGGAGCACGACTGTTTGTGCATTTTCTGGAAAATTTAGAAGAAATTCCAGAGAATATTCAATGTTGGACAGACTCTAGTCGTGCCCGTTACTGGATTCAACAACAAGAGAATTTGGCTCAGTTCGTTTGCAACCGTGTCAAGTAGATCACAACGCTTACTAGGAATGAATATTGGAGCCATATCGCAGGGGAACACAATCCAGCAGATTTCTCTTCCCGTGGTTAATTCCCATCGGAATTCATCAAATCTGGATGGTGGGAGGGACCAAAATGGCTTCAGGAAAAGAAAGAAGACTGGCCAGTATCAAAAGTACAATATGATCTGGAAGCCATTGAAGAGGAAAGGAGTAAGACTGTGGTGGCTGAATTTGTAGCCAAAAATCCCGGGGAGAAACCGTGGTATCTAAATCTAAACAAAAGTGTGAAGTGACTCTAGAACAAATACAGAGTGACTCGATCAGTGAGGAAGATCCCAAAACGAAGCAGCTACAATCATTCCGGAAGAGAGAGGGTATTGTCGAATAGACTTAAGTATTGAGTTTTGATTTTTTTTATTATTCTTTTATACCTGTTTGTGATATTTAAAAAGGTCAAGATAGGAGCTTATTGGAAATATTTATACTTTATGTAAATATATACATTTCATTTTATTTTTTATTTTATGAAAATAAATACTTTGAATTTTCATTTTTTACGTTATAAAAAGAGGATGCCACCTGTGCTGGCAGAATAACTCGTGACCTTTGGCTTTAGGAGAGCCCGCCACTTGCTGATAGAATAAACACGCCTTTTTTACAAGTCATTTAAAACCCGTACAAGTTTATTTCTGGAGTCTTCAGCTTATTGAAGCATTACAAGGCGAGCTTCTCAGTGGTACAGACTTCACGGGGTATACCTCCGCGATAAGACCAACGTCATGTCCCTGGATGACGACGGAGACCTCTGCCACGGCTACAGCGACGTCGTTGTACCCGCAACGACCATCGCCTCAGGCCCGGTTCAGGCCTCGCCTGCATCGCTTTGCCATCGCTGCCCTGAGGCCTTACGGGCGGAGTCACATATCTCGCCCGCTGCTCTTCAACGTTGCGGGCTACACTAATAATGATGGACGCCGGGAACTGTTCATGCATTTGAATGAGGGCGTGAAGCTAAAGAGGCTCCCAACGTGCCTCAACATCAATCATAAAGGGGAGATCTTGCCGGCCTCCCTCGCGTCCGGAGCCAAGTGCTTGCGGAGCCAGAGGCAGGAGAACTGTAGGTGCAACTGCGCCTAGATGGCCATCAACAACTGTCACCTGTCCCACGAGCACAAACCTCACGAGCGGCTCGAGCAGCTGAGGGTCTTTGCGAAAACATCAGTCCGGGACAATGTCTGGGTCGTGGGCAATCTGAACATCGACGGAGGGCCTGCCGGGGAAACAGAACCGGCTTCTGTGGAAGCCCCGCTGGAAGAGGTCGCCACCTTCTTCGACTCGGCCCATCTTATTTTGATATATATGTGGTGAGGTCTGGTAGCCTCTTGTACAATCCTGTCGACTAAAACTGTGATGAGGTTTCCAATCGACTTAAACTATGGTGTGAGTCCCTGTCAACTCTCGCTATACCGTGTTGACCGAGAGGAACAGTCAGAATGAAGAGTTTTACAGTACCTCTCTGCACCTTGGAAGACCTTTTACAGTTTTCACCAAGTACAGGCAGTCGTGGTCGAGGCAGAGTGGAAAGCTTGGGAATGTCCATACACACAAAAAAAAAAAAACGAAGACACAGTTGCACTAGGAAAGTTCCGTGAACAGATAAAAGTTGAGCTAGGAGCGAAAGATGGAGAGATAGAAGATTTATTACTGGTCTATATGTTGGATTAAGTGGACCTTGGTGACAACCGACGTGGGCTTCCGCTGATGGTGAACTGACTGTCAAGTGACTGTAAAGTCACTGTATTTATAGGTTCAAAAACGGGGGCCTTATATATATATCTTTCCCGAGAAAGGGGGTATTGCATTTCACCAGATGTGAAGAGCGTGGATCGTCTAGTGAAATTCTATTGGCGTCGTCCTGACAGCATCCAATCTATCTTTAGATTTAAAATACAATATAACGCGGCTGATGATTGTCAAACGAAAATTGCAATTATACCGCGAATGTTTCTTTTAAACAAAATTCGAAATTTATTTTTAAAGAGAAATAACGATTATTTCTAACTTTAAGGATGAAGTATGATAGGATGAATTGTGAAGAGTAATGACAAACGGAAAAATAAAAGTGTCCAGGGGCGGGAATCGAACCCATACCTTCTGCTTACCGGGCAGGTGCCATGTCCACTAGGCTACCCTGGACGTATTTTTCCGTTCGTAAATAATATTTAAAGTAAATATTATTTACGAACGGAAAAATACGTCCAGGGTAGCCTAGTGGACATGGCACCTGCCCGGTAAGCAGAAGGTTGTGGGTTCGATTCCCGCCCCTGGACACTTTTATTTTTCCGTTTGTCATTACTCTTCACAATTCATCCTATCATACTTCATCCTTAAAGTTAGAAATAATCGTTATTTCTCTTTAAAAATAGATTTCGAATTTTGTCTAAAAGAAACATTCGCGGTATAATTGCAATTTTCGTTCTATCTTTAGATGTTGTTTTGTTTTTGACTTCTATCTCTTTAGCTCAACTCTTAATCCATTACAGAGTTTTATTCATTTATCCTCAGTTTGTAAAAAGTACTTTACATATGTAAAATGCGTATAATCATTTACAGATGTGTTTCTATTATACAACATGAAAATCTTGTTATAAGTTATATACAATGGTTTAAATTACCATAGATGGGCCCGGGAGTGAAAGGTTTATCTGGGTTTAAACGGGTAAAGCCCCTCTAACACAGGTAAGTAAATAAAATTTCTTTTAATTAATTTGAACTGTGAGGGTTAAAAAGTGCTATAACAAGATGATTTGTTTGGATATATAAAAGTGAAATAAAAACGACATTTTGTTTGATTTAAAAAAAATGATGATTAAAATAAAATGATGATATAAAAATTCAAATTCTAAGAGAATATTGGCGGAGGTTAGAAAGGGTTAGTAGTTGAAGATTATGCAATTGTAAGCATCTTGTTATAGCACTTTTTAACCCTCACAGTTCAAATTAATTAAAAGAAATTTTATTTACTTACCTGTGTTAGAGGGGCTTTACCCGTTTAAACCCAGATAAACCTTTCACTCCCGGGCCCATCTATGGTAATTTAAACCATTGTATATAACTTATAACAAGATTTTCATGTTGTATAATAGAAACATATCTGTAAATGATTATACACATTTTACATATGTAAAGTACTTTTTACACATGCAACCAAATAATCAGATCCAGGAGCAAAGCGAGGAAATAGACTTGAGCGTCTTCCTTGGCAATGTGTCACTTGCGATCTTATATAAGGGTTACAGTGCTTTGTCACAATTTTAGGGTTATTGGGTTAAAAGTTGTTGAAGAAAAGTTGCTTATTAATATGATTGAAAAGGGTGGTAGAGCCGTGCGATAAGTAGAATTGTAGCGACAGTAGGTGATCTGACTTGACTTGAAATCAAAGGTTGATTGTGGTCCGCTAGAGCTGAAAAAAAAAATTGATAAAAGTGAACGCTTTGTGCATGCGCTGGTGATGTGCTCTGCGGATGATTGTTATAAACTCTTGAAGCGTGTTCAGGCCAGAAGTTTGGATTTTTAAATCTGGGCAACTGTGTTCAAAGCGTTTGTTGAAATACGAAAAAAAAAAAAAGTCAACCATGGTGTCATTTTTCTACAATGAAGTGAAGCAATGGCTGAAGAAGATAATTCTAATAAAGTACAGGGAATTGGTTAAAGAATATGATTGTTTTAAGCGGTTGTTGTAGATGCCCGATAGTTGAAGATTGTCATATAATAAAGGTATTTTAAAAAATAAAATATAGTGAATAAAAATATAGAAATATGATTGCGGGTATAAAAAGTGTAAGTGGACAAAATCAAACATGTAATATATAAAAATATGATGATGAATTGAAAATGATTTTTGGTAAACAAACAATACTATATTAATATCATGAAAAATAAAAGTAAATTTGATTGAGTTTTTTTTTCTTGAAAATAATGTTGGAATAAAAATTTGATTATATAATTGAAAAGTAAAAATAAAAAATTATAATCAAGATTTTATACAAAAATTATAATATAATTAAGGGTTATTAATGCTTAGATAAATTTTAAGTAGTGCAAAATTGAACAAAAATTGTCTCTTTTAAAAAAAAGTTACAACTGTGGTGTGTAACTAGATCATATCCCATTGGTAAACATCGGTGTTTTAATGACTCTCTGAAGCTGGGAATACGTGGAATGACAATTTTATTTGTCCAATTTATTTGTTAATCTAGATACATTGTTTTTATCCTCTATGCATTTTCTCTTTATGTTACCCTCATATCTAGAATGCAAAGCAGTCCAAATTTATTTACTTGTTTTGCATGTTAAAATTAAACTTACTTGTGTGTCATCCATTGCACAAGTTATTATCCCTCTAGCTTGGGCATCTTTTCTTTTCCAATCGACAGTTATTTTTTCATCTTTTTGGAGGATCTTTGCCTTCCAAAATGCAAATGATGCGAAATTTCCAACTTGTGATATTATTTCCATCAAATTTTTGGATATTCATCGATGATTCAGCCATTTTGAATTTTTACTTATAATATGTTCTTTTCGAACCTTAAAGATATTTTCTATCTTTCTTTTTTCAAAATGGCGTTTGTTTACCTTTTTTGCGTAAACCGCGATCTGCTACCAATTGTTGGTGTTTTTGGGGGTAAAAAAGAGAAAATGTTACTTAAATATATTTTTAATATTATCTTTATGCATAGAAACTACAAAAGTAAAATTTAAGAATTAAAAATTTTAAATCCTATCTGAATAAGATATTTAGTAAAGGTTTCATAAAAGACTCTGCCTGCTTGTTTAAGTCCATAAATGGCCTGATTAAGTTTACAAACAAATTTCTTACCTTCTTCTTGATATTCAAATCCTTTAGGCTGTGACATGTATATAGTCTCTTCCAACTAACCATACAAAAAGGCTGTTTCTATATCAAAATGATGAATATGCAAATTTTTCATTGCTGCAAAAGCAATTAAAGTCCTTAGAGAATCTGATTTCATCACAGGTGAATAAGTTTCTGAATAGTCTACTCGTAATTTTTCTGAACATCCTAATGCAACCAATCTTGCCTTTTATATGGGATTTAAAGGATCATGGCTATTTTTAATGGAAAACACCCATTTTGATTTGATAGGCTTAATGGTTTTAGTCATAGGTAAAACATCCCACACCTTGTGATTTTTTAAATAAATTATTTCCCCTTTCATGGCTTGAAGCCATTTTTCTTTATCTGGAGAGTTTATGGCCTCTTCATAATTAGTTGGTATAATTGGTAATGAATCAACCTTCATTACACTATCTGCTGGATGGTAGGTAGGATCAGAAGTGGTGTCATCTTGTGATGTGTCTTCATCAGATAATGATGATTCATAGTAAAATCCTTGTTCAGGAGTAGGTCTCAAGTTGTAGACATTTTTATTTTCATCTGGCTCATTACTTGTGGATTCTGGAACATTTCCTTGGTGAATAGGAATTGGTTCTTCTTCTTTTTGACCATTTTTATGAAAAAAATCTAGGTCAATTAATACATGATCTGGCAATTCAGCTTTTACTTCATTACTAAGTAGTTCAGCTCCCTTTTCTTTTTCAATAAAGATTACATCCCTTGTTTCAGTAATTGCATAATTTTTAGCGTCACAGATTCTAAATGCTTTTCTTTTATTTGAGTATCCAACAAATATACCTGATTTTGTGATTTTTTCAAATTTGTATCTTTTGAATTTAGGAATCCAGTATTCAGATCTGCATCCAAAAACTTTTAAATGTTTTATAGTAGGTTTCTTTCCTGTAAATAGTTCTTCAGGGGTGGTTTTATCATTACTTTTATGTGGAATTCTATTTTTTATATAAGAGAATAAGTGTTCATGGCTTCTGCCCAGAATTTTGGTGGCAATTGTGATTCTATCAATAGTGCTCTTGTACCTTCAATCAAACTTCTATTTGCTCTCTCCACTATTCCATTTTGAGAGGGTGAATAAAAGGTTGTAAATTGATGTTCTATTCCCTTTTCTATCAAATAAGAGCTTAATTGTCTATTTGTAAATTCCCCTCCATTATCAGACCTTATTCTTTTGATTTTTGTACCTTTTATGTTTTCTATAAGTTCAATAAAATCCTTTAGTTTGGCAAAGGTTTCTGATTTGCTTTTAAGGAACTTTGGGAATATTTTCCTTGAAAAGTCATCAACTATGTTCAGCACATATATTGTTTGCCAATGGATTCATGCTGAATTGGACCTATTAAATCCATATGAATGAGATCAAAGGGTTTGGTTGATTGCTTTGAATCAATCTCTTTAAATGGCAATCTAGTAAACTTTGATTGAATACATGTGATACATGGTTCTAAGTTATTAATTGGTGAACAACTGAATCCATACACCATGGAGTCTTTTAGAATCATATTCATATAATTTTCATTTATATGTGCCAGGCGTTTGTGCCAAATTTTCCAGTTATTTTCTTGTGTTTTGAACACATTTTCTTCTATTTTGATGTTTGCACATGCATCAATTGTATAAATGTTAGCTTCCCTTTTTGCAGTTATAATGCTGGTTCCATTGTTATCTATTATCCTTGCACCATTCTCATCAAATATAATCTGTTTTTCATCTTCAGTTATTTTACTTAATGATATTAAATTACTGTTGAGTTCAGGTACATATAGAACTTCTTTTAGTGTTAAAATATCTTCCTGATAAATTTCAACAGTGCCAATACCATTTGATTTGATGAATCTATCATCAGGAAGAGTGATTTTTCTGCTATCATATTGAAGATCATCCATTAGATTAATGTCTGTAGACATATGGCTTGTTGCTCCACTGTTTAGTATCCACTTTCATTTATTGTTGAACTCTGGGGAACTTAAGTTCATGGCAGTTTCTTGATTATGATTTTCTCCAATCAAAGAAGCCCTAGTATGATATTGTTTATTTTTTGAAAATGTTTGTTTGGGGATTGTTTGTATAGAATTCCCTTGATTGTTTTCTTTTCTTTTGTTAACTGGGTTGAACCAGCATACTGCTGCTTTATGTCCAAACTTTTGACAAATGAAGCATTTGGGTTTTCTTTCTCTATTAGAATCACTTGAATTTTTCTTAAAGGTTTTGTTAAATTTATGGCCCATATTATATGCAGAATTTTCATCCTTTTTGTTCTTGT